CTAGAGCTTTGTGCAAGCTAGGCAAACATTTAACCAACTGAGCCACACACATTCCAGGCTGTCAACCGGGAGTTTTAATCCTCTTTGAGGACATTATCATTTTGAAAACTAGTTGTTTTTGTTGTAGTTGTGGGTATTTTGAGATAAGATCTCACTGTGTAGCTGGCTTTGAATTTGTAGCAATCCTGGTACTGGGATTATACAACCAGACTTTTAGGTTTTTGTGTGGCATGTCTACAATTTCATTATCTTTGAATTCATGCTGTGACAGATTTCAGGCCCAGTATACACTGAATCCACACCAACACGCTGCTTTTCATTAAAAACAAAACTGAAACATGAGTCACCAGTTAAAACTACATTCCCACAGTGTGATCACAGGAAGATGTAATCAAACTGTCCTCCTGCTGTGTGCTGAGTTGGTGAGACTTGGGGGGGGGGGGGGGGGGGGGGGGGCGCGGGGATCACAGGCTTTGATTCTAATAGCTAGAGCTCAACACAAAATGTTTTTGTATTTTTTTTTTAATTGTTGTTTTGGATGTGATGCAAGACACTTTTGTACCAGATAAAATACAGCCATTCAAAGAAAAAATGTAAACAAACCACAATATCCAAAGACTTGAAAACAAATTCAGCTGAGTTTGATGTCCCTTGGCTTTGAACTTTGTCTTCTCCTGGTTTTCAGGGGCAGCAAAGCAAAGAGAATAGCAGTTGGGTTTCTTAGTAAATTTGTTTCTTAGAGGCAGGTTCACACGTAACCCAGGCTGTCCTTATTTAATATATAGCCAAGGATAACCTTTGACTCCTGATCCTCCTGCCTCCACCTCTGGAGTACTGGGGTTATAGGCATGTGCCATGATGCTCAGCTTGGTAAACATGGATGTTTTTAGTATGAGAGAAAGTATGTGAGTGTGCATGGTCAAGTGTGTGTGTGGATGTGTGTAAAGGTCAGAAGACAAGCTCAGGTGTCATCCCCAGGAACACTGTCTGCCTCCTTTGAGACTGGGTGTCTCATTGCCCCAGAGCTCATCAATTAGGTTAGACTGGCTGGCTAATGAGCTCCAGGGAATTTCCTGTCTCCATCTCTCCAGCCCTGGGATTTGAAATGTGCCAGCACACTGGCGGTGATGGCTAATTTTAGTTGTCAACCTGACTACATATGAAATAAAACCCAACTGCTGGGCACACCTGTGAGGGATGTGCTTTCCTTTTCTTTTCTTCCCCAACAACCTTAAAAAAAATTTTTTTTTTTTTTTTTATTTTAAGATTTTGAGACAGGGTCTCACTGTATAGCCCTCACTGTCCTAGAACTCACAGATATCTGCCTGCCTCTGCCTGGGACTAAAGGCATATACCGCCACACCCAGCAATGAGGGATTTTCTTTCTTTCTTTCTTTCTTTCTTTCTTTCTTTCTTTCTTTCTTTCTTTCTTTCTTTCTTTCTTTCTTTCTTTCTTTTTTTCTTTCTTTTTCTTTCTTTCTCTTTCTTCCTTCCTTCCTTTCTTTCTTTCTTCCTTTCTCCCTTTCTCTCTTCCTTCCTTCCTTCTTTCCTTCCTTCCTTCCTTCCTTCCTTCCTTCCTTCCTTCCTTCCTTCCTTCCTTCCTTCCTTCTCTCTCTCTCTCTCTCTCTCTCTCTCTCTCTCTTTCTTTCTTTCTTTCTTTCTTTCTCGACTTCCACTTTTTTAAAATAGAGATTTATTTATTTATGTATTTTATGCATGAGTGCTGTCTTCATGCACACCAGAAGTGGCCATCAGATCCCATTACAGATGGTTGTGAGCCACCATGTGGTGGCTGGGAATTGAACTCAGGACCTCTGGAAGAGCAGCTAGTGCTCTTAACCGCTGAGCCATCTCTCCAGCCTGAGGGATTTTCTTAATCAGATTATTTGAAGCAGAAGACTCATCATAAATCTGGGCCATGCTTTCTGGTGGCAGCCCAGGACACCAAGCCAGGCAATGGTGGCACACACCTTTAATCCCAGCACTCAGGAGGCAGAGCCAGGCAGATCTCTGTGAGTTCAAGACCAGCCTGGGCTACCAAGTGAGTTCCAGGAAAGGCACAAAGCTATACAGAGAAACCCTGTCTCGAAAAACCAAAAAAAAAAAAAAAAAAAGGACACCAAGTGCTGTCCTCCCTTTCTCTGGCAAGTTCATCTCTCCTGTCTCTGTGGACAGCATTAAATAAAGCTTCTCCAGGTTCACAACACAGACTGAAGACCAGCAGCTCTCCAGGAATCCTTCAAGATTAGTGTCCAACTGAGGAAGCGGAGACATTCAGCTTTGTGGACCAAACAGCCTTGGAATTCTAAGCCTTTCTGTTGTCAGGCATCACTAGACCTCCCAGACCACATCCTGTAAAACAGTCTAATAAATCTCTTTTTAATATATATAGTCATTCAATCAGCTCTGTTCCTTTAGAGAATCCTAACTAATACACTGATTTTTTTTCTTGTGAGTTCTTGGGGATTGAACGCGGGTCCCCCTGAATGCAAAGCCAACAGTTTAACTGAGACATCTCCACAGCCCTGATGATTTTTATGAATGTTTTGATGCAGCTGTGGTGCTCCACACCTGTCATCCCAGTCCTGGGGAGGTAGAGGTTGAAGGCCCAAGAATTTAGGGTCATCTCAGGTGTGGTGAGACTCTGTCACTCACAAAAGTTTTCGTAGGGACTGGGGATATGATAGTTGGTAGGATGCTTGCCTTGTGTGCATAATTGCATGAAGTCATGGGCTGAATGCCCAGCAACACACACACACACACACACACACACATACACACACACACATACACACACACACATACACACACACACACACACACACACACACACAAAAGAAAAGATTTTGGTACAGGTAGTATTTTAAGCAGACCATTGTGAAGACATCAAAATAAATGAAGTTAGAGAAAACCAGTGGCAAAGGCTCTCCACGTGTCCCTTTTCTTCATGTGTGCTGGCTCCTTGGCTTAGGCCTGCGCAAGCCGTATCACCCTCTCTTGCCTCCTGACCCCCGGTTCCTCTTTCCTGCTGTTGGAACTTGGGTCTGCCTCATGTCTGCCCAGTCTCTCTTGGATCGCTGTCAGTTCATTACAAAGTATTGAAGAGTGCGGGTGGTCATGTCTGGAAACCCTGAGTTTCAACCCTTCCTAGGCTACCACTGAGCAACTCCCGGAGCCTGGGGCGGTGTCTGGACAGGTGCTGCCCAGCAGAACTTGGGGGTGGTGATGGACATTGTCTGCAGCTGCATCATCCACAGCACTAGCCACTGGCCGCAGGTGACTGTTGAGTACCTGGAATGTGGCCAGAGTTGCTGACTGAACTCTTTTTAATTAGCATAGGAAGTAATGAGTTTTATTATGGCATTTTTACCCACAAATGTCATTATACCTTGTTCTCTTTTGTTTCTCCCATTTCTCTGTTCCACCCCCACACCCCGCCACCCCCTCTGATTCCCTGCTCTTCCCAAGTCCTTCTTCCTCCACTTTCCTCTTTTTCATCTTCTCCTCCTCTGCCACCCTTTTTTGCTTGTTTTTGAGACAGGGTCTCACTGTGCTGCCCTGACTGGCCTAGAACTTGCTATGTAAGCCAGGCTGGCCTCAGACTCACTGAGACCCACATGCCTCTCTCTGCCTCCTGGGTCCTGGGATCAAAGGCATCATCTCTCCCAGCTGTGACTCCGCTTCTTAAATCCCTATGTAAATTGTTTAAGGTTGCTTTGGTTGAAGTGTGTATGAAGAATCTCATGCTCCTATATGTGACTTCCACAGGCAGAGGGTGTTTCATGGGAGCCATGTAAATTTAGTTAAAAAAAAAAAAACCAAAACACTCAAATGGGACCATGAAAGAATTTTAAAAATTGGTACAGAAATTACTTTAAAAAACAAAACTACAACATCTGAAGTCTAATTCTACTTGAAATTTTCAGTGCTTTGAGCATGAAATTGGGAGAAATAGGCAATAAAAATAACCCACTTAGCAAGAAGTAGTGATCCTTCAACCCAGCAATACTGAGGTAATACAAAGGGGGTGCATGCGGTCCACTTCACTCAGGTCGGGCTCTCCCACACCGCTCTGCAGAGTTCAGCGCCTCTGTCGACAAGCTAAGTGCTCTTAGGGTGGTTTCTCCTCTGAGCAGACTCAAGAACAAAGCCCCTTGTTTCAGCTCCCAAGCACTGGAAAGACTTAGAAAGATCGGGAGGGAAACAAACCATGCTGGAGCGCTAACCATGCTGCCTCTTCGTGAGTTTGCCTTGGGGGGCTCCACTCTGCCACAGAGACACCCACTCTGGTGCCGAGCTGACAGGTAGGTAAGTGCTGATTTTGAAACCTCGCCTGAAGATGCATCCGGTTTGATGCAGCCTGGTGTTCTTGCAGTAAAGCTATTTTCTTTATGTCTGACGTGGTCACTGTGAAGCCAAGTGGCTGTGGCCGCCGACACAGTCTCTTGGTTGGAAGGTGATGAAATCAGTAAACAAGCAAAACAACAATAACAGAACCCTGGATGTATCATTATGAACCACCTGCTTTAATGTAGAGGCAACCTACCTGCACAGGAGAAAAAAAAAATGAAGACATGCTTATTTGTAGAAACACATGGGATACAACACTGCATTGTGAAGAAGATTACTGACGTGCAATGTCCTTGATTTGGGTCTCTACATTATCTTCCTTTTAAATTTAAAGCATTTTCACATCACTTAAAAGATGAATTCTGGGGCAGCAAGAAGGCTCAGTGGAAGCTTGCTGCCAAGCCTGACAACCTAAGTTCAGCCCTCAGAGCCCACCCGCTGGAGGAGAACATCAGCTCCAGAAAGCCCTTCTCTGAACTCCACATGTGCATTGTGGCATGCAAGCATGCACTCAAACACCATGTAAGTAAAAATTTTAAAACTGTAACTTTTAAGATCCACATGATTTTTTTTTCTGACCATTGGAATATTACAGTTTCAAGTAACAAAAGATAAAAATAAAAACACTGCAGACTAAATCTACCAGTATGTACAGAGTGAACACATTTAATTACCGCAGCCATTAGTAAGTCCTCTTCAGCTCAGAACTCATTGACGAGCAGTCACTGAAGGCTCTCTGGGATCTCCCTGTTATCCACAATGAGGGTGTGGATGATCCCTTCTCTCCTCTTCCCGCTGCTGACGGCCTTTATGTAACAGTCATGGCTCCCAACACTGAAGTGTGTTTCAGTCCCATCATCTACAAACTCACCCTAGGACAGCAAGGGAGGAAGCATCAGTGTTCCAGAAATCTCTTTGCCAGGGCACTAACAACATCTAAAACGGACTAGTGGTATAATGAGATAATATGTTGGTAAAACGTTAAGCGTTGCAGACTCAGCATTTCAAACTTGTGTTTATACACCTTTATGATTCTGTTATAAATTGAGAGTTCCTTTCTTTCCTTGTAGTCATTCATTGTTTTGATTTTTGAAACAGGGTCTTACTCTGTAGCCAAGTTTAGGTTAAGCCAGAACTCACTGACCTCAATCTCTGGATCCTCTTGCCTCCACTTAATTCTAACATTACAATGACTTTGATAGAAGTACTCTTATTATGCCCACTTGACAGATGAGAAAACTGAGGTAGATGACTTGAAAGTGCCACTCTGCAAGGAGACTACTGTGGTGATATTTTATTTGTGCTCTAACAAATAAAGCTTGCCTGGAGATCAGAGGAAAAAGCCAGCCACTATATTAAACATAGAGGTCAGGCAGTGGTAGCACATGCCTTTAATCCCAGCACTAGTTAACCATAGAGGTCTGGAGGTCTATACAGACACATAGGAAGTGATAGAGCTGGGCAGAAAGAGGAAGTGATGTAGCTGGGTGGAGAGAGGAGTAAGATGGCAGGGCACAGAAAGGTATATAAGCGTGAGTATACAGGAAGTAGCTCTCTCTTGGGCTGAGGATTTCCTAGCAGTAAGAACTTGTGGCTGGCTTGATTTATCCCTCTGATCTTTCAGCTTTCACCCCAATATCTGGCTACGGGTTTTTTTTTTTATTAATAAGACCGTTTAGCAATTCTTGTTGCAGATTACTCTGAACCAGTTCAAAATTCCATTTCCTTTGGGGATATAAGGTGGTTTATAATAAAATACACGCTTAGCAACAAAAACCAGACACCACTAAATCTATTGAGCACTTGAAATGTGTCCACTTAGAAATGAAATCCATAGCCTAAGTTTAAAATATATACCTGATCTGAAAGCCAATGTGAACCTATGAGTGTACATAACTCACTAGTAACTTCCTTTGTTGATTACATGTTAAATTTTAATTCCTTCCTTTTGTTTTTTGAAATAAAATTTTATTTTGTGGCCCAGGCTGACCTATAATTAACTATATGTGCCCTGGAACTCATAGTAATCTTCCTGCCTCAGTGCCACAGTGTTCCCCCAGCCAAATGCTGTATTGCAGATATGAGCCTCCACCCTTGGCTTAATAATCTTGATAAATTGATTTATTAAACATTAATATTAATTAACTTTAATTTTTTTTTAGCATGCCTGCTAAAATGTTAAAATCACACAGGAGACTCAATACTCATGGTTCACATTCTATTTCTGCTCAACAGCATGAATCTACAGAAAGAAGATGGGAAAAAACGGTGAAGAGGGAAGAAGAGCCTTAGAGTAGTGGTTCTCAACCTATGGGTTGTGACCCAGTGGGAAGGGGCTGAACAACTCTTTTCATGGGTGTTGCCTAAGACTCTTGGAAAACACAGAGCTATGCATTATGGAAAACACAGAAATTATGCAGTAGCAAAATTACAGTTATGACATAGCAACAAAAATAATTTTACAGTTGGGGGTCAGCACACCTTGAGGAAGTGTATTAAAGGATTGAAGCATTAGGTTGAGGAGGCCTTAGAGGATAGACAGAATTCAAGGAAATCGTGATCAATGCCTTAACACTTGTCTGTGCACAGGCTAGGGAGCTCACTTAGTGTGTATAACACACTGGGTTTGGTCTCAGCACTGAAAAATCAAACAGGAAATACACACACACCCTCCTCCACCCCCATCCACACCCCTTGACTATGAGCATCACAGAGGCCAAGCAGCTAGAGCTCTTGAAGGGAAGGGAGATGTACTGAGCACTGACCCAGGCACATCTTTGGGTGCAGAGATCCCTATCACGTTTATACTGAGGCTTGGAAAATGCTTTTGGAAGACAGAACAAGGGTTAGTCACAGAATCCTGGTAAGTTGCTTCTTGGCTACTTGACAAACATAATTTTGGTGCTACTGGTAGGGGGCACTTGGTTGCAGGTGTGTACAGACTGGGGCAGGCTGCTGGGCGAACTCACTCAGGGAGCCTGAGCACTCTGTTGCAGGTGTGTACGGACTGGGGCAGGCTGCTGGGCTAGCTCACTCAGGGAGCATGAGCACTCTGTTGCAGGTGTGTACAGACTGGGGCAGGCTGTTGGGCTAGCTCACTATCCACTCTGCTCTTCAACTGGACTACAGTTACAAGAAGGAGACAACCAGATTACCAAGGACTGTTTTCCACACCAGTTTCCTGTCAGTTCCTATGGACAAAGACATAGGTGCTGTGGATATCACTCTGTATAAATAAAATGTTGATTGGCCAGTAGCCAGACAGGAAATATAGGTGGGACAAGCAGAGAAGAGAATTCTGGGAACAGGAAGGCTGAGTGAGGAGACGCTGCCCGCCACCGCCATGAGTACCAACATGTAAGATACTGGTAAGCCATGAGCCATGTGGCAAGGTATAGATTTATAGAAATCTATAAATGGGTTGATTTAAGATATAAGAACAGCTAGCTAGAAGCCTGAGCCATTAGGCCAAACAGTTTAAATAATATAAAAGTCTATGTGTTTATAAGTGGGCTGCGGGACTGCCAGAGCTTGGTGGGACCCAGAGAGAAACTCTCCAGCTACACATAGGTATGAACATGATTTTTACCATATTTAAAACCGCTTTCCCCTCAGTGGTAGGCAGGGAACCCTGAAGCTTCCACGTGTTAGGCGAGTACTTTTCCCAAGCACTGAACAACACTCCCAGCCCTTAAAAACACATCCTTAATCCCATAAGACCACATTCTTTTCAGTTGTCCCAGAGAATTCCTGGAGGGTGGAGGAGATGTGATTGCAAAGTGCTGACTATCTGGAGACTTGCAGGGGAGGCATGGAGAAGGAGGACCACAGGTCTGTTGTAGGCCCAGAGTAGGTACCTGACCACATGCAGGGTAAGGACCGCTCTTCTACAGGGGCCATATGGGCCTGGAGAGCTCCCTGCACCTCTGTATAAACAAAGCTTCTCTCAAGCAGGTTTATTCCGGGGAAGGGCTTAAGTTCTGGAGATAAAGCCCCAGAGACCAGGTTACACCCGCCAGGCTTAAGAAATGAAAAGGCACCCACTTTTGTGACTGTGGATTCCTACCTCCTCAGGGACAGAGAATTATGAGATCCAGTAGATTCGAAGTGATCAGCTGAGTAGTTCCCCCCAAACAACCTTTCCTCTCAGCAGCACCTTAACTCTCCTTCCTACACCCGAAGTGGGAACAACTACACCATGTGACGAGAGAGAAGGTGAGCAGAGAAGAGAGCTAGCTGCTCACCACTGCCAACCTTGGTGTTCCTCCCTGGAGCACAAGCCTGAGCGGCAAGGACAGCACTTCCTGTGTGGCCGGAAGACCTCAAGACCCAGGGAATTTCCGCACAGTGACTTCAGCTCCTGGTCCTGCATTCCCTGTGCCACCATGTTAATTCATTTCTGCTTGAAATTCACTCCTAAATTCATTTCACTCCAGGTCACAAGGATGCTGGCCCCTGACAGCAAAGCTGAGTGCATTGGAGCCTGGATGGCTTTTGAAGGATGCTTGGTCTCTGTGAGCGGGGAGTCTCTTTCCTCCTACCTTGACAACATTGGTCTACAAATTTCACATGTCTTCTGGCATTTGTGACAGTGCCCTTTTGTAGTCTACCTCCAGGTCATCTGACACTGTGTACATCACTACTTCTTTAAAAAAAGCAAAACAAAATAAAACAAAAAACCCTCACTTTTTGGAAGGTACCATGCACTTTGAGGATATGTGCAAAGCCTTCCTACCCAAGTGTTATCTGCGGTCAGCAGCACTGGCAGCACAGAGGGTTGAAAGCCTATCATCAGCTAGAATTTGCCTATCATCAGCTCCCAGGGGACTGCTACACATGATTTCTAGAGGAACAAACACAGGAGGACAGCAGCTCTTGGGGGAAGGAACCTTTTCATGTGAACACTTGTCAGGATAAAAGCCTAACCAGGAGAGACAAGGTGTGGAGTGTGTGGCTGTGCCAGTTCAGACTGCAGATTGTCTCCAAACGCTCACTGCCCCAGGGACTGTCTGGAAAAGATTTCCAGAACTTAGAGTCAAAAGCAATTCCTATGATTTTTGGTTTACTAAGATTACCTTGGTTAGTTAGAAAATCACCAGAATTAGCGTTTGGTTGTGGTGGTTCGCACTCGCAACCCCGATGTTGAGTAGGCTGAGGGGGGAGGACTGAGTTGGAGGTGAGCCTAGGCTACACATGCTCTAGGAATGACTACAGGCCGACTTACCGCTGACTCTATTATTTCACCGTTGCACCACACATCCATACTGTTTTTTTCTGTAAAAGTAACAACAGTTAAATGTCATAATTCTATAGTCAAAGTGAAGTTGTTGTATTTGTTTTCATTTATATGTGTATGGGTGTTTTGCTTGCATATATGTTTACCACATGTGTGCCAAGTGCCCACAGAGGCCAGAAGAGGGTGCCAGATCCCCCTGGAACTATTTACCTTAAATAAGAAAAGAAATACCATGATGGCACATGCCTGTAACTCCAGCACTCAGGGTATGTTTTTGCTTTTGCTTTCATCTTGGAACTGGGAATCCAACCCAGGGCCTTGCACATACTTGGCAGGTGCTATACCACTGGCCTACATCTTCAGCCTTATGTTTTGTTTTGAAATTCTCCTTTGAACTGGCCCTTAACACCCTTCCTTGTTAAATAATGAGAGAAATAAAATTCTTCACATGTTTATGTAAAAATAAATTATTCTCCTGACAAATAAAACAAAACAAAAACCTTGAGGGTTAATTGAATATTGAATGATAATCTGCTCACATGGATGCATGAGAAAAAGAGAGCTCATGCATTCTTTCTCCTATTCAAATCTCCCACTTAACTCTATGGAGAGAGTAATTAAATAGTCACTATAAAAATCTAACATGGCCTGCATAGGGTCAAGCCAGATGGGGTTACAGAACTGAGAGGGGGAAGTGGACACAGTCTCCCATCCCCAAACAGGAAGTGATTTCCAACTAACAACTGCTTACAAAGAAAAAAAAAAAAAATCAGTTTTCTCCCAATGGCGTCTCACTGGCTGTATAAACCACACTTAAGGGCAGGCCCCACAGACAGCAGTAGACAATCAACAAAACATACTCAGTGGTGTTCTTATAGATTTGTTGTCTCATATTGCTTTGTCTGGGTTTTTTAAAAAATCTTAGTCTTTTGCTTGTATACTATGGCTTCCAATTTTGTGTTTTTATTGATTTTATTTGTGTGTTTCTGTGTGTGTGTGTGTTTATTGTGATTTTTCCAATTTTTAAATTCTTCTTTGTTTGTGTTTTTTATTTACTTATTTGTTTTCTAAAGAGAGAAAGCATGGAGTTGGGTGGGCGGGGAGGTAGGGAGGATCTGGAAGAAGATGGGGGAGGGGAAACTATGATCAGAATATATTGCAGAATATATTTTATAAATTTTCAATTAAAAAAAAATCCTGGGGCTGGAGAGATGGCTCAGAGGTTAAGAGCACTGGTTGCTCTCCCAGAGGTCCTGAGTTCAATTCCCAGCAATCACATGGTAGCTTACAACCGTCTGCAATGAAATCTAGTTCCCTCTTCTGGCCTGCAAGGATACATGCATGCAGAACACTGTATGCTTAATAAGTAAATAATTCCTTAAAAAAATCCAGCCCATTCTGCAGGAACAGCCCCGACTCACCCAAAACAATTCTAAAGTTCTCGCCATCCAAGTGCAGTACCCAGGTGTTGGTGGTTTTTGATCTGTTCTCTACATACTTTACGAAGCTTTTCCTCTCAATTTCCAGGATATATTTAAAAACATAACCTTTGTCAGAAAGTATATGTATGGTGGCTTTGGTTTTTGCAGCTCCAACATAGAAGGTTTCTTTGCCCACCAAATTGAACATCCACTCTTTTCTTATCTCTTCCTAGATGATAAATTAGAATAGATTAAAATATACAAATAGAGGGAATTTTAATATTTAACATTTAAGAAATAATAAAAAACTTCAAGGTGTTTGTGGTAGTTTTGTTTTGTTTTGGTTTGGTTTTTTGAGACAGGGTTTCTCTGTGGAACAGTCCTGGCTGTCCTGGAACTATCTTTGTAGACCAGACTGGCCTCAAACTCACTGAGATTCGTCTGCCTCTACTTCCTGAGTACTGAGATTAAAGGCACGTGCCACTACCTGATTGTGGTGGTTTGAATAAGAATGGCCCCTATAGGCTCATACATTTGAAAGTTTGGTCACCAGGGAGTGGAACTATTTGAAAAGATTATAAGGATTAGGAGGTGTGGCCTTGTTGGAGGAAGTGTTCACTGGGGGTGGGCTTTGAGGTTTCAAAAGCCCAAGCCAGACCCAGTGACTCACTCTCTTCCTGCTGCCTGTGGATCAGGATTTAGAACTCTCAGCTACTTCTCCAGCAGCATGTCCTGCCATGCCTGCTGCTATGTTGATAATGGACTAACCCTCTGAAATGGTAACGAAGCCCTAATTAAACACTTTCTTTTATAAGAGTTGCCTTGGACATGATGCCTCTTCATAGCAATACAACACTGACCAAGACAGTGATTAGAAGCCAATATTATTTGTACTTTATGAATTCATCATATCAAGTTTTTGTTTTGTTTTAATCATTTTTCTGTGTGTAGTGGCACCTAACTTTAATTTCAGCACCTGCGAGGCAGTTGAAGGTGGCTCTCTGTGAGTTTGAGACCAGCCTGTCTGCACAGTGAGTTCCAGGCCAGCCAGGGCTACTTAGACTCTGTCTGAAAAGAAAAGGCCATTTTAAATTTAAATACCAGGTTTCATATTCTTGTATGTAATTATTCTCCTGTAACTACCACTAGATTGCTTTATACAGAAAAACAAATAGGTGAAAAACATAACCGTTGTCAGAAAAAAAGCCCCAACTTTATGTATGAAGAAGTTACAAATTACACCAATAAAACCAAGTTTTGGGGCTGAAGAGATGGCTCAGTGGTTAAGAGTACTTGCTGCTTTTCCAGAGGATCCAGCACCCACATGCTAGCTCCCAACTGCCTATAACTGCAGGCTCAGGGGATCTGATACCCTATTCTGTCCTCAGAGGACCCCAGGCACACATGTGCTGCACTCACAAGCATACAGGCAAAACACCCTTACACATACAAATAAATAAAAAGCTTAAGAAAGCAAGCTGGTGTAGTCTTGTACACTTTTAATCCCAGCATTGGGGAAGCAGAGACAGGAAGCTGTCTATGAGGTCTAGACCAGGCCTGTCTAAATAGCCAGTGGTAGGATAGCCATAGAGAGATCCTGTCTCAAAGAGAGAGGGAGAAAAGGAGAGCAGGAGAAGGATGAGCTCTCTGTAGCACATTTTACAAAGTCACATTATGTTTCCCTACCTTCCCATCCACATATACAACTCGTTTTCCTGATGTGGTCCCATGTTCAAATTCAATCTTGTGGATTCCATCACTTAATATAACATCCCAAACAGCTACAACATCTGTCAGTTTCCTTAGGCTATAAAGAGGGCAAAGGAAATAAAAATGAAGCCATTAAAATGGGCTAAAACAGTAATAGAATAGCCAATTCATCTTCTTAAGATTTTTCTTTTCTTTTCCCCTTTCTCTTTCTTTCCTTCCTTTCTTCTTTCCTTCCTTCCTTCTTTTCTTCCTTTCTTCCTTCTTTCCTTCCTTCCTTCCTTCCTTCCTTCCTTCTTTCCTTCTTTCTCTCTCTCTCTCTCTCTCACTCACTCTCTTTCTCTTTCTTTCCTTCCTTCCTTCCTTTTTATTCTTTTTTGGACAGGGTGCTATGTATTCCAGGCTGGCTTCAACTTACTATATGAGCCTGATGATCGAAGTTTGACCCCGGAACCCACGTAAGTGTGGAAGGAGAGAAATGAAACCACAAAGTTCTCCTCTGACTTCCACATGTGCTTCATAATACACACCCCAATACACATGTTCACACATCATTTAAAAAAAGTCTGTGGTTTTATGGGATCTGCAGTGGCTGTGTTCTTTATTTATTCAAAGTCATGTACCATAAATGTCAGCCTTCAGCTTTTCAAGTCATTGCTTATTTGAACCTGTTTTCAAAGGATACTGTCCTAGGCAGGCATGGTGGCACATACCTGCAATTCCAGCATTTGGGAGGTAGAGGCAGGAGGCTATCAGGAGTTCAAGGAGACCATGTCTAAACCAAACCAAATCAAACCAAACCAAACCAAACCAAACCAAACCAAACCAAACCAAACCAAACCAAACCACAACAACACAAAGACATTGCCCTAGCCAGTGGATGCACTGAAAAGTTGTAGTGTGTTCTGGTGATGACTGATGCAGTGACTGGTGGCCTTGCCCTCCATGGCAAGGAAGACCTAAAATTACTGTGCAGAGTGACACCCTGTTGTTGCTGGGCACCTGGTATGGCCTCCCTACCATGTGTGAGAGAGATGAATGCTCCGAGGCCAGCCCCAGTGCCCTGGCTCCTGTTGGGTGGGATCTGCAAGCCCCGAGACAGGAAGAGTGCCAAGTTGTCTCAATGTCCCCTGACCAATGCATATCTCAGTGGTCTGTTTGTTTCTTCTATATTCAGATACGCTGCTGCTCTGGAATGAACCAGTAAGAGGCCCGTGGGAACCTACTCCATCAAGTTCACTGGGACCACAAGTGGCTTCTGGTACAGGAACGGAAGAATTAATCCTGACCTGTGCTGCCCCCAGCATACCAGTTTGAATGGCAGGAACAAAAAGAGACTCCATCTATAAGCCACTACCCTTTCGCCTGGCAAAGGCCAATAATACAGGACCAGAAGGAGGCTGTCGATTGTCCTTTTAAAAAATTTTCTAAAATCGTCTCTTTAAATGCATTTATTTCAAGTATATTTTAGGCCCCACCTCCTTTAAAAATGTAGCAATTAAAATAAACCACCAGGGCCTTGTGCATGCCAGGCAAGCACTCTACTACTAAGGTATATCCCTAGACCTTTTGGGATGTTTGTTTGAGATACAATCTCACAAACTTTCAGGGTTTTTTTTTAGACAAGTTCCATGCTATAGTCCAGGCTGGCCTCAGCTTCCTCGGTGCTGGGATTGCAGATGGAAGCCAGCATTTCTGGCTTGGTTTTTCTTTTTCTTTTTTTCAGTCTTTTATGTTTTTATCTTATTATTTTTCTTGCTTACCTTTTGTCGTTTCATATCTTTTAAAAGATTTGTTTATGTGTGAGTGCATGAGTATAAGTATGTGTGAGTGTGTGTACCTGTCAAGTGTCTCCTGTCACTTTCTGTTTCTTTGAGGCAGGGTCTCTCCCTGAACTTGGATCTTGTGTT